GATGTTTTCATTGCGGTTGCGTGGGCAATGCCAAGCAATGTCAGCTGAGAACATCCGCAAAAAATGATGAAATATGAGGATACCCTTTTATTAAATAAATGCATGGTATGCATATTGCTCAAATCAAATTTAGATAAAGGTTTAAACACATCAAATATATCGAAACTTGCTGAACTGATAATAAATGCCTGTTGAACCATCATAAAACTCTAGATTTTGACCCTGCTTACAAAAAGTATGTACACATGTCGCTCAGAGCTGAATATATATATATCCAGCATTTAAAAAGATCCTTGGAATAGACAAAATATGTATGCTTTTAATTATTTTGTACCTTTACCTTTACTATTTGCAACTATGATTTTGAGATTCAAATTACCCAACTTAAACAAACAAAACTTCAACATGCATTCTATGCGCTTGGCATAACCCTTCCGCGATTGATTGGCCAGGGTATACAAAAAAAAAAGAAAAGAAAAACCAACAATTTGCGCGGCACTGTGGTTTTTGCTCCGCTGTTTTTAGCGCCCGCAGGAATTGTTGGCAAGTTTGTTTGCTTCGCTATTTCGGATATATTTTTTGTTCATAAATATAAATCGTTTGATTTTTTAAGGTCTGTTGCGACCACGTGACATTGAATTCGTTTTGGGCAGGCAGCGTGGGAAAGCTGAGGCAACTAATTGAACGGCGTCTTGGCCAAGTACGAGTGGCAGATGGAGATGAGACAAGCTGCCAAAGCAGGTCAAAAGTGATGGATGACAAATGTGCAGTACTGTAAATGGTAACAAGGCCTCGGGGCTCTGTCTATCTCTCTTGCTTACATAAGCGAATGTCAGGCAAATGCAATTTAATAGCCATGAATTAGCAGCCATGCGTTGCAATGAACACAAGAAACCAACCGCCCGCAAGCCTTGACTCGACTCATTTGGCCGTTTGACTGACTTTGTGGCAGAACTGGGCCAAGAAAGTGTATTCTGGCCATGTGGCATGCGTGTGTGTGTGTGTGCGTAATTAATTGAAATTTGCAATGTGTCAAAATGGCATCAGACAGTTGCCTGGCAATTATATAATAATTATTACTTGATCTGGCAATGACTGACAGCTGTCTGACAGCAGACGCCGAGTTGCCTGCAACCAAATGTTGCACTCGCTCATTATTGTATCTGTTGTTGCTGTTGTTGCTGCTGTTGCTGGATTTTAATTAAAACTTTTGCACGCATCACAAGGCAGCAACAAGAATCAGCTGTCAAACAGAAAACCAGCAAGAAATTTGGCTTAAAACAAGGAAGCAGCCGCAGCTGATGAAACTGTCAAGATGTTTATAGCCAAACGCGACCCCCTATGGCTGGTGTTAGGCTTCCAGCTGAACATGTTTATGTTTATATAGGCGCCTTCATCTGACATTTGTTCGGCCTGTCGCAATTTTCCATGCCTCGTTCTGTTGCATGTTGCACTTTTGCTGCCCGCTGCGCAAAAGGTGAACTCGTCGTTCGACAGCGCCGCGTCGCAGCCAGGTGACCCGCTCGAACCTTATTTGACTTCATTGGGATCTGTGGAGCGCGCGTGTTGCAGTCAATGCGCAGATTTATGGCCAGCAATTTTGGGAATGGCTCTAATCAAATGCAGTTTGGGCATGAATACAGATTTACAGCGACAATTCGATAGGAAGCAGATGCCCTTTATGCAAAAGGTAAAATATATAAGCTCGGAATACACATTAAATCTGATTGATTTGGCATATAAAATGATCCCACTTTAATGGATTATTATTGCCAAGTATATTTTAATAAACTTTTCTTTAATGTATATTAGTTTAGAATTTTCAAGAATATACTTTTGGTATTTTTTGTATCAACATATTTCTATAAAACAATTTATATAATAAGCAAAGTCCAGGCCAAGTTTTTTAGATATTATTTCTTTCAATTCCCTCATATGAGAAATTTAATATTATTTTGGTTTAAGCTGTTGACTACGAATCATGAGAAATAAATAAAGAATAAATTTAGATTATTCTTAGAACTTTAAGACATTTGCTGCTTGTTGTTGAAAACATTTTTAATTTAATTTTGTTTGTTTTTATATTTATTTCAAAACTTTATAACTATAACAACCACTTACAATACTCTACTCCATTCACAACCCAAAACTTCCGCTCAGCTCAGCTTTGACAACATAACTAATTGATCCAACATATCTCAAACATTCCTCAAAACCTTGTATCGCACACAGCAATTTTTCACAATTAACTAAAACATGAGAAATAAACAACAAAAAGGCAAAATAATAATTCAAATGGAAATGGAAAGAATTGTTGTTATGTCTGCGCATAGCTAACAAAAATATTTTCATTCTGGTTTTCTTGGGCGGCGTCACATAAATTCAACTAATTGAAAATTTTCACGAGCATAAAATTATATACCCGGGCAGCATGTCAGGCATCATTAAGTATTTCATAACAAGGAGCCAGTAAAATTATTTAGACCTAGACCTAAGCTAGAATATTGTCTAGGTAGGTACTGGAGTAAAAAATATGGAGTATTATTTTGGAAACAACCCTCGCTTGGTAAAAGTGCGGCGTAATCGAAGTGTTAATGAGACACGCCGAGCGAGCGCATTCACTGAAGAATTATGAGGAAACTAAAATCTTGAACTATGCCACAGACAAGGGAAACGTGCAACACACACACACAGGGGGCGGGGTAGAGCGACAAGCGTTGAAAAATGTGCGTCAGACGTTTTGTCAGCAGCAACCCTCAGACAGAACAACTCCAGGAGGGAGCGCTACACATCTGGGAATCGTCGACGTGTGCATTACAAAACGGGATAATGTGCAGCAGCCGTCTCTGACGTCGCTACCGTCGCTGCCGACGCTGGCAGCGACGCGTGCGAGCTGCAGTAGCTGCTTATCCTGATCCTGGCCGCGACAGATGTTTACCGAATTGATTAGAATGGAAAGCTGAACAATTCCATTGAATCGAATGAGGCATTGAGTGCCCATTCAGCGCACACTGGAGTGGGCCAGGCCAATGACCAGAGGGGATTTGGGGTGGCAGCCGGAAAGTGCACTTTTGCCAGTCTTAGTGTGCAGTTAACGATATATGAAAAGATTAAGGCGATTAGCAAAGTTGGAAAGTAATTTATAGTTATTGAGCATAATTTTCACGTTCAGCCCTAGATCGGGTGGCAACGCAATTGCGGTTAGTGCTGCCATAAAAATGAGCGAAATAGGCAACGCTCAACAAGAACTTGGCGACGTTCAGGTGGCAGCGCCTGCGACAGGCCAAATAATATGACAAATGTGTCTAGCCAGGGCTGCCTGGCTGGCAAAAGAAACGAGCCAGAAAACGCGCACTCGCACACATAAGCAGCTACTGAACATATGGCAACGCCTTCAGATAACGGCATAAACTTGCAGCCTGTGGAAATGGAGATTTGAGCGGAATGTTTTCCACAAGTTTTTATACAAAAACAAAATGCATATGAGACAATGCCCCTTCCATAAGCCTGCTTATGAGTTTGAGGAGTTCTTTCCTTGGCTTTCATTTCCTGTCGGGTTTTCTCTGTGTGATAAAACGCACGTGTGCTTAAGTACATTTCCCCCTCTCTTTTCCACTCTAGCTCTGTGTATAATATTCCATTCTGTGCGTTGGATTTTCCATTCAGTCTGTAGTCGTTGTTGTTGTTGTTATTAAAAACGAATTATGAATTATGTTTTTCATTATTTTTATATTTTTGTCTATTGTCGTGGCTTGGAGTGTGGCAAAGAGATTATTTTCATAATACGTGTTTGTTCCGAACACTCGAAGTTGTTCGAAAATCCAAAACACAAAGATAAGGCACATTTGTTGGGGATTATGTGGGAACAAAAGCGTTCAAAAGGTAGCAATAGTTTTTTTTTCATTAAAGGAATGGGAAGTAATAAGGAATGGGACTCAAAGAGTTGCCAATCTGTGATAAGGGTAAACTATAAAAGGATGAACAGAGCCAGCTTACGAGAAGATAAAGCATTCCATTCCTTCACCTTTTTGACAAAATTATAAATATTTATGATGCTTTATTGTGAAGCACAGCGTAGGTTTACGTTGATTTTTAAGGTATGGGAAAGAAAAAAAAAAGAAAAAAATAAAAAAAAATATGAGCAAAGAAGAGGCCATATAATAAAGATATAATATCTTCTGATTACCAATTATGCATAACATTTGCATCTCTTCTTCGTTTCCATAGTAGAGGGTTTACATAGCTGGGCGGGTCAATAACAAATAACTCAAAAATACTAGACACTAGTCGCACTGGTCCGCGGGTTTTAAAATCGCGTCCAGATAGTTACTCTTAAGATCATAAAAATAATTCATTTTATATTTAGGCAAGGTGAAGGCTTACTTTAAACCTATTTGTATAGTAATTAAATTTTTTGAACCTTAAACACATTCCTAATGACTGCTCCACATTGCAATCCCATGACTCGCAATTTTTCAGGCCCAACAACACATATTACTGATCCTACTCCACAAAATATATATCCTCAATTATATATTTTCTGAAACAAATGTTAAATTTCAGAAATAAAGTCTAACAACTCTTTTAAATATATCCACCATAAACAAAACTTGTTCCCCTTTTACTCTTCAACTACACTTTTAATTTCCAAAGCTCACTCTATTATTGTATTAGTTATAAGAATAGAGGTACATATACACGTAAGTAAGACCTTAGCAGCCCGAACTATATTTTTTCCAAGCCATAGTTGTAACTAAACTGTCCTTTATATAAACAAATAAAACGATTAACTATATTAATTGAATAAAAAAAGCAGCCAATTGATAATAATTATTATATTGAATTGATTTGCTGTATTCGTAATGAGGCTCTAACTTTTATTCTGAACTATGAAACTTGTTTGACATTGCACCAGGAGATAAAAACTAACATTTTTCCGATAAATATTTTGCATATAAATTACGTTCGCGACATTGGGCCTGATCAGTTAATAAGCATTGTCCGAGTCAGCTATCGGCTACTTATGTCTAGCACCTCAGTTAGCTGACCGATCAGTGACAACGGATCGCGCGCCGAGCACAGTTCAAATTGGAAAGCACGCAAAGTAACTTTTCTCGGGAAATCAAAATATTCTAAGATCAACTACTTACAGCAATATCAAGCAACATTATGAATTAAAAAAAATAAAAACTTAACAGTAAGTCGCAAAGAGAATGTGTACAGACAGTAGAAAGCTTATGTGATTCTTTTAAATGCATGCATCTAATATATATGAATATATATCTATATCTAATATATATAATGCCCTTGTAGAGAATATTTAAATTTTCTCATGAAATGCTTAACACATTTAAGGAGATGTCTCTCCGACCTGATAATGCATACATATTCTAGATCAGCATCGACAGCCCAGTTGATATAGCCTTGTCCGTTTGTCTGTTTCTTGGCGAACTTATCTCTCAGTCTTAAAGCTATCGTATTAAAACATTGCATAGGTCCGTCTGCCTGCTGCAGGCAGTACATATGTCGGAACCGGCTGGATCGGACCACTATATCATATAGCTGCCATAGCAACGATCGGTCGAAGAGTAGGTTCTTGTATTGAAAACTTTTTAATCAAGATATCTTAACCAAACATGGTTAAATGGTTTTTCAAAAAGAGGCGTCACCCACCAAATCTTGGACCCCAATCTACCTAGTAGGAATGGATTTTCCAAAAGGTGAGAAACACCTATCATATGATTTTTGGCAAAGATCTTTGAAAATGAGTTTTAGGGCGATCGGATGGTAAACAAAAAAGTTTCATATAAACGTTCTTCGCGATTTTTCTTCATCACATAAGGTGGCTACAGTGAAAATTTCAGCTTCCTAGCTCCTACGTTATGGGCTGTGCGTTGATTACCAATCAATCAGTCAGTCAGGACATACAGTACTATGTATAGAGATTTGCAAATAAGTATTTTCTATATACATGAATGCGTAGCCTAACCTAGACTGAATCTCTACTACTATTACTTGTGATTTTTTCTCTGAAAACATTACAGGTTTCATGACAATTCGCAAACTAGTTTTCATCATATAAAATTCACTCATTGAACTTGAACTTGGCATACAGCAAGCCAATTAATTTACAATTATATTATAATTATCTGTAATATTTTTACTAGCTTGTTTATATTCTCTGGGCTAGTGGGTCAACATGTCTCGGTTATACTATTGCTGCCTGATCTGTCTAGGCTTGCATGCAAATCTGATACTCGCCGATATTCTCAAGTACGACCCAGTTATTATAGAAGATGCGCACCTGCGAACGGTAAGTATTGTTTACATCAAGTATTATTTAATTATTAGCAATAATTGTATATTGTTGCAGCCTGGACTTATCAGAAAGTATGGCTATCAGTTTGAAGAGCACAAAATTGATACCAAGGATGGTTTTCGATTGACGGCACATCGCATACCCAAGCCAGGTGCACAGCCTGTGCTGCTGGTGCATGCACTGGAGGATAGCTCTTCGGCCTGGATCTTGATGGGACCAGGTCGGGGCCTGGGCTTCCTGCTCAGTGATCGAGGCTACGATGTCTGGATGCTCAACACCAGGGGCAATCGCTATTCACGCAAGCATCGCAAATACCATCCGCTGCACCGCCAGTTCTGGGACTTTTCGTTCCATGAGCTGGGCATTTATGATCTGCCCGCGAGCATTGACTATGTGCTAGCCAAGAGTAAGGGCTACGAGCAGCTACACTATGTGGGCCACTCGCAGGGCACCACCTCCTTCTTTGTGCTGGGCGCCGAGCGACCCACCTATATGAAAAAGATCAAACTGATGCAGGCACTCGCGCCCGTGGCCTATTTCAATAATGTGCAGCAGCCACTGCTCAGGGCTATGGCTCCCTATCTATCCGACATTGTGGTAAGTCTTACATGCATGTATATACATTTCTATATATTGAACTAACTGTCTTGACTGACTGGCTGTCTTGAAGATAAACTGTAGTTACCTTATTATATGAAGGTGCATGCTAAAACGAGGAAATTTCACTCGCAAGTATGGGAAATTCGCATGATACTTTTGTATGAAACTTTTTCGTTTACCATCCGATTAGCATAAAGCCCATTTGGAAAGCCTTTTGTTTCGATTAATTTTTTCCATCCCTCCTTGGTGGAAATAGATATTTTGGTAGGTAAAATTACGGCCTAAGACTTCGTAGACGAAGTTTTTAAGTTTCGTCCGATTGTCTTTAACTCTTTACTCTTAAATTTAATTATTCAAGCGTTTATTGGCCTTTTGACTGAATATTTAAATGAAATTTCAAAAACTTTAATCTTATATTTATATTTCTTTAAATATTTTCAAATTTTATTAATATAATATTTTGAGCTAAAGTAATTTTTTCAAACTTTGCAGCGCTTGTCTCAGATCTTTGGAATCTATGAATTTCCACCGGAGAGGGAAGTGTTGCGCGAATTAAACTATAAACTCTGCAGTTTTTTTTTTCAAAACACATGCACCTATTTTTTAATGCAAATAATAGGCGTGGATTTCGAGCAGCTAAATAGAACACTCGTGCCAATACTGGTGGGACACTATCCGGCTGGCTCATCCGTCAAGTCATTCGCCCATTATTTTCAGCAGGTTAAGAACGGTGGCTTAATCGGGTATGACTATGAGAATCCCTATATAAATCAAAGACACTACGGCAGCGTCAAGCCACCAGCGTACAAGTTGGCCAACATTAACTGCAAAGTGGCCCTGTATTATGGCCAAAACGACTTCCTAACGGCTGTCAAGGATGTGCAGCATTTGCGCGATGAGCTGCCAAATGTCGTTCATGATGAGAAATTGGCCTACAAGAAATTTAATCATCTCGACTTTATATTTGCGAATGATGTCAAAGAGTTGCTCTACGACAGCATGTTCCAGGTAATGGCAAGGGTCGACAAGGGGGAGCTTTAGTTCAAAAGTTGAATATATTCATCAATATAGTTCTAAATTAGCTTTAGAATAGGATTTATCAAATACAGCCATATGAAAAATGTTGAATATATGAGCACCTTAGTATGCCTAGTCATTTGCAAATTGTAAGAGCTTTTTAATGAAAAGTTTATAAATATAAGTACACATTATATTTTGTATACTTGTATGAGGTTGGCAACTTTTAAGTCGCATTGTTTATAAATTCATCTAATCATATTTAATTTGATTCAAAGTTTGTTAACTTTTTTCTTCTCTGATTTAAAGTTTGTTAACTATTTTCCTTATCCCTTTAAATAGATAGGCGTTAGTTTTAATCTTTGTTTTAAATTTGAGTTATAAAATAATAATGTAAATAATTAATTAATTTTCAAATTTGTTTTCACAATTCTGTTCCACTTATAATATAACATATAACTAGCTTAACTATTCTTAATGAATATTTGATACCTCCTAATAATTTAAAGAAATTATTTGGCAATTGCCATTGACTTGCATATATTATATTGTTAAGTGTACATATTATATATTTAACAAATAAGATTTCTAATATATATATTTTTTAATTATCAAGATAAGTTGTGTTAAGAATATCCCACAAGAGCTATAATTCTTGAACTTTACAACTAGTTGGAGCATTGCTTTAAATATTGGAACTTCACAACTTGAAAGTGTTTCATATAATTTTGGGGTATACAAGGTTGCTTGCATAGCTGTATAAAGTAGACTTGGGGAGTTTGGTTAGAGCTTAATGTACTGGTATAAATGTTGAACAATGAGAAGAAGTATCCAAAAAAGAAACGATATGCTGTGAATCTGCGTTTATTTTATAAGTATACTTCTTATGCTTAATGGGGTCGAAAACAAAAGCAAAGAAAACAATTACACATTTTCATTGGAGTTAGGGTAGAAAAATGGACAAAGAGTGTTTTGATTAGTGGAAGCATCTTTAGTTCTTATCTTATAAGGGTATTGGATTTTCGACAAGTGCAGCTGCTGTTTTTTGTGCTTGAACTTCAATTAATTCATTAGTTTTGGGCGAACAACTAAAAAGCGAGTTAAGCATTGAAGCTTTTGCATTATTATGGCTATTTAATATGTTTTAAGCATGAACGAACCTATTCAAAATACGGTTTCGCCATAATTCAGCAATATGTGAACAATTTTCATTTTGTGGCAATGTGTTGCAAGCAGCTGAGTGCAATTAAATGCGAGTATTTGCCCAGCGCCAGCTGAAGTGACTGCCCAGCCACTTAAATCAGACACTCAATTGTATAAATATAACTATATTTATATATTAACATATATATATATATATATGGTAACAATCTCCACGTCAAAAAGCGCAGGCGTGTAAAATAATTGCCCTGAAGACGGTTTGCCGATGTGCAACCGAAATATATCGGAAACAAATTAAATAAAATTGTTTTCATTGTTTGTTTTAACAAACACGGACCTCGAGCCAGCCAACAAATAAATATATATATGGTCACACAAATATTTCTAAATGTATTTTAGCATAGCGCAAAATTATTGTAATTTTCTATGGCAGTGGGAGGTATTGAAATGGAAAATCAGATTAAATATTTAAATCGGACAGAGAAGCCTGTGGCTTGCCAAAAGTACGAGTGGCTCCTCTCACATGTGTGCATGTGTGTGTGTGTGTGCAGGACGAAAAGCTCTCTATAACTGTGGAAAATTTATTGCAAGTATATTTTATTTAAATGCTTTCCATACTGGCAATGACAGTCGCCGGTCTGCGAGGGGTGCGGGCAATGCAAGAAATGTCCAGTGACAAATGCAAAAGCTGCCAAAAAATAACCCAACACAAAAATTGCATTGGCATGTGCGCGAGTGTGTATATGAGAGTGCGTGTGTGTGTAGTTGTGTTCTCGGCAACCACAAGAAAATAAAAGTGTCATTTTATAAATGCAAACTTAATCATTTGCAGTGTGCATTTCGACCATAAAGCCAATGCCCTTAACTCTTAATTGTTTTTCAAATAAAAACGTTACAAATATTTGTTAAAAAAATGTATGAAAGGCATTAAAAAACTGAAATCGTTTGGTCGAAAATTGTATACACTAGCAGCTACATGAAAATATGACCCTTTTAAGTATATTTTAATAACTATGAAGCAAATAAAATAAACGTATATCTTAAAATTACAAATAAATAATATAAATAAAAACAGGTAACAGGCTCTAGTTTGGGAGAGTTCTCAAAATAACAATTGCATTAAAATTGTGGCTTAAATTCGTATGTAGTACAAATTGGTTTATTTACTTTATTTATATCTATGTTGTGTAGGCAGGGGGTGGCAATAATTAAGAAATGAAATAAATTTATATATAAATATACATTATTTAAGCAAACTCAAAAATAGAACTTCGATATCGATTTTTATCGATTACTTGGAAACGGGACAAGTTATCGATTATCGGAAACAAACTCGTACTGCGCACGCACTAGGTCTTGTGAGACCTTTGCGTTCATATATACGGACATACAGACTTACATGGCTAGATTGAATTGGCTATTGATGCTGATCAAGAATATATATACTTTATGGGGTCTAAATACAATTAACCCCTTTTACCCATTTTGAAAGGGTTCATGAAGTAGGCAAATTTAAAATTTTGTCCTGCTTAAATGATTAAGTATATCAGTATTATAAATGTATAATTCAATGTTCAGAGCAGTCGCGAATTATAAACAGAAGCGTTTGTCGAGAAACATTTTTCATAAAAAGATAGAAGCAGAATAAAGAATGGATACAGAAAATAAAACCAATAATTAGTCATTATTTTCTAGAGACTGCACCCAGACTCTAAATATTTATATGAGAATATGTCTGGTATCATTCCTTAATTTTTACCCATACTTTCGCAGACATTTTAACTGTCAATTATGGTGTTATTGTGTTTATCGACTCTTAATCACAAATCTAACCCCAACAAACTCACTTTTCCCAGGACAAGCTGCTAAACTCGTTTCTATTTGGCACAACAAATGCCATTAAAATGATTTAAAAGATAATAAACTTAACACACTTCGAGAACAATATGCTGACCTTAAAAACTACGCACAACAATAGAAAACACACTAAAACACATACACACACACAAAGAGAGAGCGAAACCAAAGACAATTACGAATGCATTGTTCGCTTTTGTCCCTTCGCACTCATTACGCGTGCAAGAAAAGGAGCGCACAAATGAAAACCAAAAAGAACGCTTTTACCAACACCTCGGAGATGAAATACCCTTCTAACAATGCGGCTCTTATGAAAGCGAACTATTGTTTCTTTGCGGGTAAACTCACAATCAAAAAGTTTTGCAAATAAAAAAATTTACATTAATGCTTCGACCGACTTTATATATATATGATATATATACCCCAGCGCATTGCAGATGCCTCTTTCTAAGTGTAACACATTTCACGACAAAGCTAAAATACCCTCTGCAAGGGAATACAAAATACTAACTGACACTCGAGTGCTTTTCAACGCTTTTATTTCGCAGTTACCTCAGAGGGGTTGCCAGCGGTGGGGCGAGGTGTGGACTGCGGTTAGTGCAATTAGGCAGCGTTGACAATGACACAAAAGCGCGACCAAATTGTAGGGTAGCGCATTCAGCAGCCTGCCAAACGGCGCACAGGAAGTGGGGCAGCGTTTAACAAGCGTCCTTTGTTACGCTCGATACTCTCTACAGAGAGCTCTATGGTTTAGTTCTGTGTCGCCAAAAAACTATTGAAAACGCATAGAGAACTCGCTGCAAATGTTTACAAATTTGCATATTTGGCCAGACATTGCGGCAACGAGTCAAAGGAAAAACAACAGAAAAAAAAAACAAAAGGAAAAAACCTGTCAATAAAAGCAGCAACAAACGTGCCGGCTACAACTTTGATTGATGAACATGTGCTGCAAATTTCGTTTGCCTATTTTTTTTTTGGACCACATGAATTTTTAGTTGAGTCACAAAAAAAAAGAAGAAAATTCGCCACAGTTGACAGTTTTTGGAATGGCCCTGAAAAAAAGTGGCGAGTGAAAAGGGTTAAAACAGGCGACGGACCAGAATTTTGATTACTTTCAACTTTGACCAATACACAGTGTGTGTTTCTGAGTGTGTGTGTGTGTGTGTGTGTGTGTGCTTGTGTTGGCCATTTCAAATAGTTGCAACGTTTAGTTGATTAATAGCCAAAAGCCCAAACGAGCTGGCAAAATCAAGCGCCGGTCATGAACCGGAGACCGGCAGCTTTTAGTTTAAGCCAACTGCGGGGGCTTTTAGCAATTTAACGCACAGCTTAACAGCTTGGTAGCCCCCAATCGGGACTAGGGGGGATTGCCAGAGGAGGGCTACGATTTTGTCATATGGCTCGTCTGTTTGTTTACTAGTGTGTGCATGTGTGTGTGAGTGTATATAAATATTGGCATTGCAGGTGATTCGGTTCGTGTGGGCAGGTCAAAGTGTCTGGCACTTACGTAACGCAACGGCTGCGGGTCCAGACGGGCGACAGCCGTGAGCTGCCTGCCAAAAAGGTTAAAGGGACCTTTCCAAATTTGAATAACATACCTGGAAAGAAACAAAAACAGAAATGTTGAATATAAATGTTGTGTTTAAAGTTTGGTTTAATAGAGTTAATTAAGGCAAGGAGATATGAGATTAGCAGCAAACTTAATGAAAGAAAAACACTCTGAATTAAAGAGATATCATGATATCAATTCTGATGGACAGACTAAATTTAATTAACTATAAACAGGAAACTAAAATCTATTAAGTAAAATATTATTAATAAGAGACCGTTGAAAGACTTCCTCCACTTCCATTTTATAATTTGAATGCTAGAGAAGAGATTATATATTTTTCTTTTTCCACGATTTCTACAAACTGGTTTTTTTTTTTGTTATTATTATTGTTGTTTAATATTTAACAATTATTTTTAATGTTTCTTTTACTCGTATGGTGATTGGTTAGGCAGCAAGCGAAATTTCGCAATCCAAATCGAAGAAAATTATT